TAAAAGTTTGATCACGGATTGATAGAGAGAGATCACTGGAAACCACGGAGTACTGGACAGATGTTTCATCCTAACAATTTGGAACTGTTCGAAAGTACGCACTCACTGAGCTCTGAAACCTGGACCTTCCGGTTACAAATCAAGCTCGTAGACCTTTCACCCAGTGGGACCAAACTCCTCAATTTCCAGGGCATAAATTTTAACTTTTACCATTTCGTGATTTTAGCCCGACGTGACTGGCAACAACCATTGTCATCGGCGGAGAGTATCTGCGCATTCCTCCAGACCCGGTGGAATTATCATCAGAACTGAAGGGAACTTCTTACTGTAGCAAGTCACTGGTCGTCATCAGATTAATTTTCAAGAGTTCGATTGTAGGGATTTGATCTGTTTCATGTTTGACCACGGAATGAGTGATCTGAGTTAGAGAACCACTGAAAACCAGTTCAGTGAGTCCTGAATAGCCGCCTAGTTTGGGAGTCACTGGTAGTATGCCAGGGTTCAAATCCACGAACTCCGGTTAACAAGGCAAGCTAGCTAGTAGACAAATCAGCCAATGGGACCCAACTCTTTAATGGCCAGCTGGTGAAGCCCAGCTTCTATCTACTAAATTCAATTAGAATTAAAGATTTACAATTTCTCTATAGAATCGCATTGATAGACCAAGGTAGCTGTTGTAGGTTCATTTTTTCGATGCTAAATGTGTTTCTTCAAAATAAACTATCTTGTTTAATTCATCAAGGGTTATAATAAGATATTTATGACATTTCGTTAAGTATTTCGCAACTATTTCTGAATGTGACTTAAACACGTACGTGATGATAAGAAAGATAACCAGACTAGAAGAAAAGATGCAAAAATCCTTCTTCTTCTTGTAAACAGTATATATATGCTAGTCTAATAGTATAATATCTATTGATAACTATCAGTGTTACAAAGAAAAGCATTAAAGATGACAGAGAGTGAAAAGATAAGCCAAAATTAGGCCTTACAAGCTTCAAAGTTTGCTTGAGAAAACTAGGTATTCTGAAAGAATAGGCGTAAAATCCGTATTTTAGGTTTGTGGTAAAACGTTGGAACTTCAAGGTGTTATAGGATTCTAAGGGATTAGTTGAATGCTCAAAGGCATAAACTGACGTCTCAGAATCGGCCCATCTCACAGTCTTAAGTGTACACTGTCGAAAAGCTCAATCACTTATAGAAACAAGTGTTCCGGATTGTCTTTTAATTTTGCTAGCTAAGGTCGACTTTTGAGGAAATACGGTTAGGGATAATGAATTCATCAAGTGATGTGGTATATTCCTTTTAGTGTAATTATTCCATTCGCTCTTTTACAAGTCACTATGAGTGATTGACTTATTGGTGTACGTTGATCGAAAAAATGTTCTCTTCAATGAAATGTGTGCCTGTGTGGAGTAATCATCTAGGTGGCTGTGTGAGTGCTGGCGAATGTGTGACGAATGGAATCACTAAGGGTGTATGGAAAGCTAGGTTGGCGTACGCTAGTTTTAGCCACCTGTAGCTCTGTCAGGACATCAGCGTGATTGTCAAACCTCTAGTATACAATGCATCGGTGTGTTCAGTCTTGTTGTACATCTGTGAATTCTGTCTTTTCTGAGCTGAGGATCTCTGAAGACTCTGTGTATTTGATCCTCACCCCCTCCATAGAACAGCTTGAGTCGGATGACATCATCGTGTGAATAATTCTGAGCTTAGATAGTGTATTTTTAGACACTGTGGATGTTACCACTCATCGAGTGTAGTCCTCTTGAAAACTGGCTTCGGTGGCTTGGGTTTCCGCTGTATTATTTGAAAACAGCCATATTACACAAGAGGCCTCAAAGCGATATTTACTTCCTATTCATGGGTTACAATACATATTGTTTGATTACTTAATAATTATGCGACAGTGGACCTTCACGAATACATTTCATCCTTCCCACCAGTAAAATTAAAGTAAGAACCATATTTCTTTCTAGATAAATCAAAGTAAAATCAATGACTGATTCGAACTGAATACAGGAATAAGACAAGACCGCCTGCCTACTACTATCACCGATGATATTCCTAGTTATGGTGGACTGAGTGGATTATGCGTTAGACTGTGCGTTGGGAGTGAGAAGACAGGAATACGTTGGGTCACCGATAAGAAGATTCTAGAAGGTCTGGATTTCACGTGTGGATGATTTATGTTTAATGTCACACAAACTCGGAGACTTGCAGGTGGGAAAAACAACAAACTGGTAGAAGAAGCAGGTAGTGAAGACAGGACTCTAGGTAAACAAAGACAAAATAAAGACGCAGATGATGAAGATAACAAACAAACAGTAACAACGGGAGAAATTCGAAAGAGTTAACTTCCTTGATTTATCTAGGAAGCATTGTTTTAACCACAGGCGGAACGGATGAAGATGTCAAAGCCAGTCAGAATCTGAAAGGCAAGATACACCTTCACCAATCTTAAATTGGTTTGGAAATTTTCTCCACTCAGAATTAAGAACAAGACTCGGATTTTCAACACCTATTAGGGTCAGAAACTCGGCGCGTCATAATTGTTGCTTTGGATCTCTTTTCTGTCTCTCCCTCTTTTTTATCCTCCTTTGTGTGGTGCATGGAGTGTGGCAACTCGAACTAGTGCACTTTTGTGTAAAGTTCTTGGTTGGAACCAGTCAGTCAGTCAGATATATCACAAGTAAGTTAGCTGGAAAATAACCCTACACAAGTGAACTTCCATACTTCATACTGAGATGTTTACGTGAAGAATTAAGCTTAGACACTGAATAAATGTTAATCTATATAGCGTAAAACATAACTATTAATCGTAGTGCATGTGTTATAACTGAAAATAGCTGAAAACCGACGAGACAGACCTCCCAAAGGAAGTTCAAGTGAGACAGTTTACTATTGACTCTTTCTAAATATGGAGAGAAGATTAACTAGAAAGTATGAACGATTGAAGACATCTCAGTGTGCCTATCTTTAAAAAGGACTTAGAACCATCTAAGTTAGTCATTTTATTAACAGTAAATTAGAAAACAAATTTCTTTTGTTACTTAACAAGGACAAGATCCCGCATGTGACCACTTCCATGTGCATATATCAGTTCAACTGCTGCTGTGAAGCCAGCCAGGTACATCGGTCGTTCGACGCGCACCCTGTCCAAGAGGATTCAAGAACACTATCCAGACAGCATGGTTGCGAAAAGGCAATAGTGGTGCAATAAGGAGTGCGATAATTGAACACCTGGTTAACACTGACCATTCTATTTCAGCAAACGCCTCCTGCTTCAAAGTAATCTACAGAGTCAAGAATAACCTATCAAAGGCAGTACGGTTTCGTCTTCTTTGTATTGCTGAAGCCCTGGCCATTCACTTAATTTTGTTTCTTGGCCTGTTCTTTTATTGCTTATAATTCTTGTATTCATTTAGAACTCTTACGTAATTTCGTATTATCTGCTTTGTTCCTGTGTGTATCCTGAGTAAAGATCACTCATCAAACTATTCATATTATTACACAACTTCTTTTAACAACTATTTGTGACAACTCATTACCTTTGTTACTATCCTAATTTCATTAACACCTAATTTTCTTGACTGACTTTGTATTACGTAACTCCAATCACCAATCTTCACTTGTTTAGTTAAAATAACTATAACCAATTGTATTATTGTTTGACAAACTTAATGTACACATACATACAGAATAACCCACGTATATATTTGCGATTGTACAGCTAAGAAAATAAATTCGCCGCCGAGAAGAGACTCTTCGTGTTTTGTTTCCATTAATGCCTGGATGGGGATTATACATGACTTAACAAATATTCAGGATTTATATTTCGCTAAATTCTCCCTCATTATACAGCCAACTGCTGTAGTTGAGTATTGAGCAGTCAACAATGACTATATAACTGACAAATTATCCCGCTAATCTACTCTCAACTCCACTTTTTGATATTATCCATACCAACTCACATGAGACATGCATTCCTTCGAACATTAAGCTCTGTGGTCTCGGTACAAATGCTGTTCTTAGGGGATGGGGTCTCTGTCTGTCTGGATTCAACATAGAACTTTGCACCGAAGTGCAGCAGTTCGAGTTGCCACCTTCCAAATAGCACACAAAGGTAGACAAGAAAATGAGTGAAGAGAATCAATAGAGTTTTGAGAAGTATAAGAGTGAAACAGAATGAATAATGGTAGAAAGGAATGTGAAAGATTACAGAGACTGAATACATCTGCGTAAGCCATTGACAACGATTTTGAGCCATGTCACCTATTGTCTCCAGCCATTGATTCTTAGAGTCTCGAGGGCGGGCCCCAACCCGGAAGTGTGCATCTCCCTACCTGACTCAGTTTAACTGTCAAGGATTTCATGGATTGATGAGGCCATGTTTTTGTTTGGCCACCACAAGCTAACTCTTTTCCAGCCTGCACATATATCAGCTAATAATGCCAGTCGGGGGAGGCGATGTCTAGGCATGCGCAGCACGTAACCTAACCATCTCAACCTATGTAACTTTATAGCCTCTTCGATTGATTTTCCCTCTTTGCCCAACACTCTACGCCTAACGTCAACATTACTTACCCTATTATACCACCTAACGCGAGAAAGAGATCGTAAACATCTGTGGTCAAAAACAGACAATCTCTTCATGTCTTCTGCTCTCAATGGCCACGTCTCACCGCCATAGAGAAGGACGGAGCGAACTGCTGAGCAGTATACACGTCTCTTGTTTGATAGCTGGATATCACGCCTACGCTAGAGACGGTGTAAGTTAGCGAAAGCAGCTCGAGCTTTTTGATCCGTGCTGAGATTTCGTCGCCAATCAGTCCGTTGGTGCTGATGGGGTCGCTAGCCTCATGCCCAATCTCCCCTCTTTACAAAGCTTACTACCAGTAAAGATAGCTTTAGGAGTTCGTCGGCAAACGGTCGGACTGGGACTATGTATTCTATCACTGAAACCGCTGATACACAATATATATATACGTATGACTTACTTGGAAAGTACTGAATGCCTGGAAACGTGTTCGACAAAATCGGCATAAATATGGTCTTAGTATTGACGACTGTGGGGATCCAGGTGGGCTAGTTATTTGTTCATTATTATTAGTAGTATTATTATTGGCATTACTTCTGTTTGACTGTAATTTCGCTTGTTTTGAATTAACAGACATTTCAGATGTTGCTTGTGTTGCTTGTGCTTCTTGTTGATATTCTGTTGTAGAGAAATGTGGAAATATTGATCCTAAAAGTTTAAGAGCTGGGAGTATATTTAATAATGACGATGATGAATTCATATTATTATTATTATTATTACCATTATTATTATTACTAACATTAGTGAAGATGTTTCCAACTAAATTGGGATCCATTTTATGTACAGAAGGAGAGTTTAAACTTTGGAATAAATGTGATGGTATGTTGGTGGTGTTAGTACCTGTCACCGTAGTTGTAGTAGCAGCAGTAGAGACTGGTGCTGGGAGATTAGGGAAAGAAGCGTGTAAATTACTGCTGTTTACTGTATTCACTGCCTGATCATTTGAAGGAATTAAAGGATTTATACATATCGGCGGGAATGGTACATTTGATGAAAACGGGGAATATCCCTTGAAGATGTTGTTAACAGTTGGTGGAAGAGAGTCAGATACAACATTAGTATCACAGTTTTCTGTAACTCTAGTGATAATTGGACAAGATATATTCACTGGATTTGTCCCCGCGTTATTAGAAGCAGTAATAGAGACAGGGGTAGGAATTAATGTACTCAAATTAGGTGTTGTTTGTGCAGTCATATTCATAGAATTAGCTGCTAGCGAAGCATACAACATGAGTAATAATTGATTAATATTAAATGGGAATGGTATCGACTGTGAATTAGACAATAACTCATTGGTATAAGATAGAATATTAGAAAAGGCTTGAAGTAAGCTCATCTCTGTAGGCATAATAGTACTATCCTCATTAGACTTTTGATTACTATTCGATATAGGCAAACGATTAGCACGTATATCTTCTGGATTTCCAAGGACTTTCGATGTTGAATTCATGTTAGACAAATGATGATGGTTTCGATGATTAGCATTATGACTTGAATCCTTCATTGTGTCGGGAATATCTCTTTTCCCTGGTGGAACCAACTGTGGTGAAAAATAACTTTGATCTGGTTGTTCCTGGTGTTGTTGCTGTTGTTGTTGTTGAACATCTCTGAATTCATTGATAGCATTATACAGAGCGAGGGAATTGAGTAGTTGTGGGTTATGCGGGTTGATAGACAAATCTAAAATATTAGGAGTATTCAACCGAGGCATCGGAGCATCCCGAGGTTTGTTACCGGGAGGATTTATCAGAGAAGAAGATACTGAAGAAGAGGGAGAAGTAATATTGACGCAATTCAATGAATCATTGGTAATTTCACAGGATGGATTCGGTGTGGTAGACTGCCTCTTCTTATTTATTGATTGAGGATTATTACTATGGTGCTGTTTTTCTGTATTAGGCCGATTGGTAAGCTTGGAAGACAAATTAACAGGAATATACTGTAAACCGTTCGCAGTGACCAGCGGTGCAGCTAAAATCAGGCCAAATCGATGAGCAGCTTCTGACAGTTGGGATAAATTCCATATTGTTTCATTTTGACGTGAAATATTATCAACACCTTCAATCGAGGGGGGATTATTGACTGAAGACAGCTCATATGATGATGATGATGGTGTCAAGCTGAATGGTTCTAGTTTACTTGATTTTGAAGGCAATGTTGAAAGATACTGAGATGTGTACAGTTGTTGACAGTTAGGACAGAAAAGAACCTTCGGTGTATGTTGGTCAATGAAATTGCTACCAGTGTTACTATTTTGATTAATAATATGTGCAATGGTTTGAGTTGGACTAACACGAGTTTCACAGAAATTACTTGATGATAATGATGACGAAGTATCAGATGAATGATTACTTCTCAGTTTCTCTGGAGCTAAACATGGACGTTTCATAGAGGTTAACAGTGTTGGAGATAAGGCATTACTGTTCGACTGATTGGTGGCATCCCCTGTTGCATTAGGAGTAGGCGGTGGGGGCGGTGGTGGCGGCGGCGGGATAAGACGAGATAACATTGGAAGCATAAAGGAGGCGATTGGATTTTGAAAAATTTGTGAAATATCACTGCCATTATTTACTCCAAATAAGTTTAATAGGGTAGGATTAATTAAATTACTCATTTGTACTGAATCGTATCCCGATACCTCAGGGATTGGTGGTGCTGCTAATGAATTCAATCCTGACAAACCATTTTCTTCGACGGTTGAGTATCTGGAAATAGGAACTGGATTGCATGAATTGACATTAGAATTGAAGTTTCCTGGGATACTTCCAGTAGACTGTGATGAATTTTGTCGTTGAGCTAAATTTAATCAACAGAAACGTAGAATGAACCAATAAATGTACAATATAGCAATGTTACTCTATTCAACTAAATAAAATAAAAACATGGAGGATTTCATCATGAGCTGACAACTGTTTCGTCCCAGTTTAGGACTATTCATCAGTACGCACCCACCACAGGGGTTCGAACCGAGGACCTTCTGGTTACAAGGAGGGCGAGCTCGTAGACCATTGGGCCACTGCGACCCGATCCAATGGTTAGTCCATGAATTCTAACTTCTGCCAATTCACGACATAGCGCGACCAATACTTGAAAATAAAAACACTTAAACCCCAGCCAAATGGAGAAGGTGATGAAATAAGCCTTCGATGCACCTGATACGGCACTTATAGACACAACTGGAGAATTAGTGTCAACGACAGAGAAAGATAAACCATTGGTCCTCGCCACATCAAATAATATCTGCGCCAATTTATGGAATTAAATATATGGGGTGTAAGGAAAGTAGGCTGTTAGTTCGTGTCGCCAAACACTACTTCGAATGGCTCCCTAGTACTTACGACTACTACCCGGAGAGCCAAAACACACATCATTTATCATTATTATTATTATTCCCTTGGGTTCCGAATGGAATATAGGGCTCCAGCAACACATCTTCACTTTCTTCTATTTTCTGATGTCGTCTTCAGCTGGCTAGCTCCACGATTCCCCATAATCTCTCATCTCGTCCTCCATGTCACCGTCGCGCTGACAACCCACTCATCGTTTCCCATTGGGATTCCACTCCAGCGATGTCATTCGACAGCCTCCTCAGTGGTGTATGCCCGATCCATCTCCATTTTCTGCTGCATAATTTTTGGGGCAATTGGATCTTGCTCAGTTGGTTTGTTGCCAGGCAGAGTTTCTTGTTGCTAATTATTTCTGGCTGGCTATTTCATCTTCAGTATGTAGCCATCCAGCGAAGGTGGCAGCTGGATGTTGATGAAAGTTGGCAGTCTTTTGGGAATGCTTTCCGTGACACACACACAGTGCAAGTTTCTGATCCATATAGAAGAACTTACTGACTGACTGACTTCCCATCTGTGTTGAAAATCCGAATCTTGTTCTTTGCGTTGAGGAGTGCAGAAGATTTCCAAACTGGTTTCAGGTCACTTGTTGAACTCCAAACATTATTACTGTCAACAGAAACTTAATAAACAGGTCGCTCGAAAGGATTCCGCTTACATCCTCTTCATGCAGCTACAGCCTTAGCGATCGTTAGGAAGAAACCTGAACTCTGTGTACAGAAATGTTTCATCCAGCCTCTTTTACTACCATGGCCTTAGTACTACTTTTTCTTCATTTTTTTATTCATGAATAACTGTAATAATGAGCTCTATGTAGTCCACTTTTGTGGTTTTCGCAACTCATTTTCGATGTTTTGTTCCTTTTGTCTCTTAGCAACTGTTTCCAAATGATTATTCATCGGTGGTGCGTCAGTGGTATAGCGATTAGAACGCTCGCCGACCATGCACATGGTCCGGGGTTCGATCCCCGGTCGACAAGGCACTCTTTTACCTCGCTAAGCCAGAAGTAATGCTGGTGAAGAGGAATGGTTGGGCATGAGGCTGTAAAATAAACACTGCTACAGAAACTTCAAGCCACTAGCTTGAAGCCTTATGTTCCACTGGGGAACGTGAAGGAAAAAAATTCATCACTCAACTAACGGGTTGTCAACCACCCGCTTGACTACGTGAGACCATTCCTAATTTTTCAAAGCTAGTTATTCCTCATGCACTCTGATTTGCTTTGTTACTAACTGACAGTAACCCTTGACCTTTATTGTCAATCTACATTGCATATCTAAACACCTTAAATAATTTTTCAAATTTGAAGTGAAGTTACGAAAACAGATCTCGCTGCTGACTAGTGTGTTTTTAATTACATGAAATGGGAATATTTCATTCTCCGGATCTTTGTTTTTAGAAGGAGATAGTGTTCATTTCAAATCTACCTTGATTGGCTGACTGACTGGTTTCAACGTAGAACTTTGCACAGGTGTGCAGCAGTTCCAGTTGCCACACTACCTCCATGTAACACACAAACCAACAGAAGAGGGTAAAGAGAAATTCAAAACAAAGAGAGACAATAAACAGAAGTGTGATGGAAAAGAAGAGTAAAATGGAAGAATAATAGAATTTTATTGGATATTATAAATCGCAAGATGTGAATGCATCTGCGCCAGCCACTGGAAACGATTTTGATTCATATCACCAATTGTTTCCACTGTAACCCAACCAGCTACTCATTCTGCACCTCCCTATGTGGCTGGCTGGCTGGCTTAAACTAACTGTTGTGGATTTCACCGACTGATGAAGCCATGTTTTGGTTTGACCAACACTGACTTTTTTCCAACTTGATGCTATGTCATCTAACATTGCTCGTCGGCCGAGGAGTGTAATGGCTAGGAATGTCCCAGTCCACCTTAGTAGCATACACTTCACCTTTTAATTCAAGAGTTCGAACGCTTCAATCACCTTGCAAGCATACTATTCGTTGGATAACGACACCTACTATTATCATAACTCCATTATGAACGCTGTTCACGAAGTTAGGTGCAAATCTCATGCTGATCTTGTTTTTAAGTACTATTCGGACAATGAGTTGATAGTTCGTTAGGGTTACGTCTAGGGTTAGGATGAAAGATAGGGTTATTATTGTATTATCTGCATATTTCTAGAAAATAGTTGCTGACCCCCCTTACTGGGACCTCCATACTAATCCAATCAAAGACTTTTGGGGAAGACTGAAAAAAACAGACTAAGAACGATAAATCGGTCACAAAAAGTATTCATTTTCAGTCACCTAGATGGATACATATACAGTAACTGGTTCAGCCTAAAATCTGACTCTCCTCATTATAATTAGGGGATGTATTAAGTCATCTCAGGGAAAAATATCCTGGTTAATATGTCTTCATGTATTTCTCTTGTAAATCAACGCCATTTTTATGTAAAAACCACCGGTTTTTCTGATTGGTGGCCTCAGGGTAACTAGTGTGATGTGTCTAGTCCTTCGTTTACTGCAGACTGAACTCTATCACTAGTTACCAGTGTCCAATGAAAGTATCCAATACAGTCCTACAGGAAGGAGGTCAATCGCGAGCCCGAGGCGGCACTGGGTGACGAGGGTTTGAATCTCCTCAGAACGGACATGAGTTCCTTCAAGGCAGTTGCCTTGTTGACTGACTAGTAAGTGCCAACTAGCACGGAACTTAGGTCAGTCAGGCAAGGCTTCCTGTAGCCGATTGCCTCCAACCATCTAGTATCAAAAATTCAAAGTGCACAGTGATGGCAAGCCACCTAGTGGCATGGTGGCCACCCTGTAAATCTGACTGATAGACTTCAGTCTTCAAGTAAACAAAGGACTAGACACATCCAACTAGTTGCTGACTAGTGTCCAATTAAAATTATCTTTGGTTTGATAGCTGACATCGATTCTTGATGAAATTCATTCGAATAACAAGCTGATGTCACATGAAAACTCCAACGATTATCAAACTAACAGTAATGTGTCAAAACATTGACTTCAAGCAGTGAAAATGAAGAACTTTCACCACTGTGTACAAAGAAATCTCATACTATAATTCATCATATTTCTATATACATATATATACGTATATATACATTTATTAAGATACTAAAATTTTCACAAGACATTGTAGACTGGCAAAATAAATAATAATCCGTTTATCTATTATGATTGCTCGTCAACTCTCTCTCTCTCCCTCTCCCTCTCCTTCCCTCTTTCACACAGACATGCACACACGCACACACGAATCCTGTCTCTGTCTTCCTTTCAAGCTGTCGTACTCTCTTTATATAATAATAATATCGGCCTCTCAATTTTTATACTGTATCTCTCTCTATTCCCATGTTAGTAGCCTACACAATGTACACAAACCAACACACACACACACACAAACACAAACAGACACACGCACACACACATCTTTCTTCATGGAAAGAAATTGCTATCTGATAAAAATTTATCTAAACAAACAATCTGAGAAACGTGAATTATAGATAAGATAAGACAGGAAAACAAGAGATAACTAGAATTGATAAACGCGTAAAACGAGGCCATGAGGAGATAAGTGTAACCGATAAGCAATCAACTAACCAACCAACCAGCTAACCAGCTAACCAACCGAATAGATGGTGAAGGCAAGTCCATACAACAAGATTGGAATTAGAAAAGTAGATAAATAGAATAGAATAGAGCAGAGAACAGGAATTGTTTTGTGGGGTTGGCATGAGACAGATAAACAGAGTAGAAAGGAGAAAGAAAAAAACAGCAAGGGAAAGGTGGTGGTGGTGGGGGGTTGCAGGGTGAGGGAGAACTAGAGAAAAACACAAACACAACTAGGCGAAAACTAAACAAGGTGGTAGTATCAAATTAGTGTGGAGACATAGTGAACTGCACAAAATTGAGAAAAAGTTGCTCTGTTGAAATATACTCTAAATTAAGATGTTCAAAAAAAATATGATAAAGACATGGGAGAAACACCTCTCATCACTGCTCTCATAATGCTCTTGCTCCTATTTTAAAGTGTATCGTATTTCTTTCGAGGATATGTTCCCAATAGAACATAAGGCTTCAAGCTAAAGCTTCGAAGTTTCGGTAGTAGTGGTGTTTCCTTTCACGTGGTGGGGTTGTTAGCCTCATGCTTAACCTTCCCTCTTTACCAGCCCTACTACAGGCTTAGCGAGATAAAGGAGTGCGTCACCAGGGGACCGAACCCCAGACCACATGCGTGGTTGGGGAGCCACCGACACACTCAATCAGATCCATGAGGATGAAATTAATTAAGGTGTTTATTCACCCGAGAATTTGGAAGTTTCATCTATAGGGTGCGTAGAAGCAGTGAATATGATAATTGTTGTGAACGTACCAGCATGGATGACAGTTCCTCAAACACAGACAAATATTATAACTTGACATCAAGACCGTTAGTTTTTTATGCACAAAACAACTGAACCGATAATATCAATCAATGCAGACATATGTCCACTAATATATATTAAGAAACTACACAAGAAACGTGGAATTTTGCACAGATGTGCACCTGTTCCAGTTGCCACACTCCTTCCTTGTAGCACACAAACCACGCACACTTCCCTACATGACCAGCTCAAACTCACTGTTGTGGATTTCGTTAACTGATGAAGACATTTTTTGGTCTGACTACCAATAACTAACTCTTCTTCAATCTGATCCATCCTAAGTCAGCTAACATCGCCTGTCAAGGAAGGAGATGAGTAGACATGTGTAAAACATTTCCTAAGCATTTCAATCGGTGTAACTTCACAACCTCGTCGATTGATTCCCCCCCCCCTCACCTACCTAACACTAGACGCCCAACCTCAATATTACTCATTGTATTATACCACCCAATTCCGGAGTTAGAACGCAGACACCCATGATCAAAGACACCTAGCCTTTTCGTATCTTCCACTTCAGATGATCATGTCTCACAGCCATAAAGGAGGGCGGAGCGGATTGCTGAACAGTACACACAACCTTTGATCCATAGCCAGCCAGAGATAACTAATTCCATTTTGATAAATTTCATTTATTTCAATGTTTTAGATATCTAATAATTATTGGCAAGCAGTTAAACTGACTTAGTTAAGTGTCCAGCAAACCGAGCAATGGCACTTAGTAGCACAAAAAGAGACCTCAGCGATGAAATGAAACAGATAGAAGAGGCGTTGGTGTTCAATAACTATCCTATAAAATTCATTAGGAAGATCGAAAAAGACCAAAAGCAAAATAAAAATAATGGTGAAACTGATAATGATAACATAAATGAGAAAGAATACAAGGCATCTACTGTAATACCATATAAGGAAGGGACATCTGAGACCAGACCCTACGTAGGATTCTTAATAAAGCAGGAATTAGGGTGGCATTTAAACCTACAAACTCACTCATAAACAAGCTCTGTAGGTTCAAGGATCCTGTTGACCCAAATGATATGACTGTGAGTTAAGTCAAATACATAGGTCAAACTAGTAGATCAGGAGTAGTGAGATGGCCCGTCAGAACATAAGAATTTGGCTAAGGTTAGAATCACTGATCTCACGAAGATAAGTAATTTAGAGAAAAACAACTCAGCACTGCATCGCACTGTATGCATTAACACACAACCACACAATAGAGTGGGTGGGACAGAGTCAAAATTCTAAGAGGTAATATAAGTAGGTGGATAGAGAGATTGATTACTGAATCCTGTGTGGATCGTCGAGTCTACGCCCAACACATGCAACAGAAATGACTCAATGCAAATACCAGAGATATGGAAGATATTATTACCACCAGTGAAATCAGAGGAGGATAATAAATAATCTTGAAATTCTACTTCAATTCACATACATCATAACATTCTAACAAGTTACTTATTTTGTCTATAAAAACATCTTATATCCCATCTGATTGCATTTGGTTGATAACACTCATATTATTATTTCTGAATGTACATTATACCATATTGATTTTTATTCAAATGACTAATCATCAGTTTCACTCATGTATATAAATGAAGTAAAAAGTTGTGTGAATGACTTGATATGATTATGAGTGGCAATTGTTTGTGCTTGAAACGTGGTCATTAGTTAATATTACTGTTTAACACTGTCTGATTAATTCTCAAAATAAAATCTTATCTGTAATGGAGTTATACTCTACCACAGTGCCCAAGTTTTATACTTATATCAGTTAGCAGAAAGTTTATTCAGACTTACCACTTGTAGAATTTTGACTAAATTTATTAGCTGGAGTGACCTTATTGTTTGTTGAAGCCTCAGAAGACGTGATAGTCACTGATGTTGACGGCTGAATAATACTTGTTGTTGTTGTTGCTGCTGTTGTTGTTGTATTGGATGAAATTAATCCAGGTCTTCTAGAACAGTAATGTGTCATATGCGCATTTAAAGTGTCCATATTCGAAAAGGATATTCCACAATGTGTACATTTTTTATCTCTTCTTGGTCCAGTAGACGTTGTATTAGCTGACATTGATGGTGGAGTTGAAGATGCTATTGATTTTGTACTACTAAATAGAGTAGAGGAATGACAACTGGACATTGTAACTTGATCAGATACTTTGTGATTGCCTATAATAGGGAAATAAAGTTAATTATTTAGCAGAGTGTGAGCAAAAATCACATATGATGAGTTACATGTAAAAATAATTCGGTTGATGCGAATTTCCTCCTATTTAGGGCTCGTTATCTGGAGGCAACTGCATTCCTCAGCTAGTGATGGTGTTTCCACTGGCGTTCAGACCTAGTACCCATCGTTTCTAACATCAAAGCGTTTATCCACTACACCCCTTGGGCGACAAGAACCCCCTCTTGTGCAACAGGTGTCAGCTGTTATTTTTATTCAATTTTAACTTTCCCACTGATCGATTGGACCAAAATGTTCGACCTCTCTCGATATATCGGCTCTTTGTGTATTTAAAACGACGACCACTGGGTTTGAACCTCAGTGGGAACAATATCACTCACTGGAGAATGCAGGTACATCCACCAGCTGACGAGTTACAAATAGGACGAAATTCACATCCTGGTGCATTCTGCCACCAGTCAATACCCATCAAATTACTGCAAGTTAGTCCTGAGACACCGCTGAAGCGTCCACATTGGCAGCCGACATATCAACAGAGACCAAAGATTTTTGTCCAATGAGGCAATGGGAAAATCAAAGTAGGTTTAGAAGTAATATAGAAAATACTAGTCACTTTTAAATGACTTCCTATACTGACAATGGATTACATCACCATGTAGTTCTTGGTTGCTCCCAGAGATCTTTGTTGCTGATCTTTTCTGGACGGCCATCTGATCTTGAGTATTGAGCGAAGACAACTGTTAATGAAGGTCTGTAGTTTGTTTGAGATGCTCTTTATGACGCACAGTGCAAGTCTCTGATCCATATAGTAGCACTGTCTTCACATTGGAGTTGAAAATCCGGATCTTATTTTTCTTGCTGAGTGTTGTTGACCTCCACACAGACTTAAGAGTAGTGAAAGCTTGTCTTGCTTTTCCGATACTTGCTTTGATATCCTCGTCAGTTCCGTCTGACTGTAGTTGAAACGATGCTTCCCAGGTAGGTAGGTAAAAGAGGTTGTTTCTTTCAGGTTCCTCCCATTTATGTTGATTGTTGTCTGTTGTTGTTGTTGCTGTTGGTGGTGTTGTCCAGGAATCTTCATCACATCTGTTTTCTCTATGTTCATCTGAAGTCCTACCTTTGATGCTTCTTCTGCCAACTTGTTACTTTTCACTTGCATATCTTCCAGTTTGTGGGAAATCAGACATATATCATCGGCGAAGTCCAGATCCTCCAAGTTTTTTGTGTGAGTCCATTTTATGCCTGTTTCCTCATTGCCCGCTGTTTGTCGCATTATGTAATCTATTGCAATCAAGAAAATCATTGGCGATAGTATATTTATATACTATAAAAAAGGAGGGGTGAAAGTGGGGGGTGGGGGTCTCTCCCATCCCCTCTTTTATAGCATATAAATTGATGGCGACTTAAACTAAAAATTGTAATGCTTATATTCCGGATGCATTCATCTTATAATGTTTCCTCTATTAACTTTCAAACATTAAGTATGATATTGTTATTATTTATAACCAATGTAATTTCAGGTAGTGGTTTGCAGTTAGCTGATGAGGGGAACCTGTGAAATAGAATGACGATATTACATTTTATACTGCAAATCTGGTCTTTCATTCTCTATCGAAATCTGCACCTCACCGTTGAAAGTTGACGATAATGGAGCCCAAAGTATAACAGCTACTGTCATCTTATTATTATTAATTTTTATTTTACTCTTTCCCCTTCCAAGTGGAATGTATGGCTTTAAACTTTTAAGTTTCGGTAGGAATAGGGTGTACGTTTCACTACGTGGGGTGTTCCTAGAATCACATCCAACCTTCCTTGTTTGTCAGCTTAGAGCATAATCAATCACTAATATTTTGTAATCATGAACGATTAAACAAGCCGCGTAATTTAGTATCCTTTGTCAAGTAATCAATACTCTCCACCACCCCATCCGTCAGCTTATTCTACCCCCAACGAGAGAGAGATAAGACAAGGCTAAATGTGTGCCTATCAATGTTTTGTTTACTACTTTGGTAACATGTATGCATACACACATGCATATCTTTATCTAATCTTCAAAAATGTGCATTCTAGAAGGCCAGCAGCACACTCGTTAGTCTGTTTTATCTCTCTCTGTATTTCTTAAATGATACTAATATTGTTTAATTAGTAAGTAGATAATATCAGTAGTATATACAATGGATAATAAGTGTTTATCGGTAATAAAATTTGCTATTATCATTATCATTATTATGATTATTATTGAGATAAGTATTAAGATGTTATTACTATTACTCCTATTCTTAATCTTGTATATATATATTTGTATTTTTTCTTTCTTTTACTGATAACTTATCGCTATAACACATCACTCTACAACTTCTTATCAGTATCCTACTCTACACACATATCACTTCAGGCATTAATCAGAATGCCATGATAATATTGATTAGAAAATCGATTAAAGCTTTAGCATATATAAATATATGCAATGGCAGTACAGTATACAGCTGATTTCTAAGCAAGATATTAATTCTACTTTACTTTCCTTAAAAGAGGACAAGATATATACTGCACAGTACAATGATATGAATAGAAAGATAGATGTATAGATAAATAGCTAGATAGGTAGATAGATAGATAGATGGTTAGAGAGTTTACTTACCTGATACAATGCGTACTACACCTATCAATGAGTCTTGTGGATTAATATCGCATTTGACTTGTAACGTGATTGTTTTTAAAATGGCTGTCAGATAACGAAAAAAAGATTAAAAGAAAAACAATAAAAGTGAAAGAAATGTAGATATGATGAGAATGATTAAGAAGTGATACACAAAATCGATAGAAAAATAACCATCATCAGTATTCGTATTATTATTCTTATTATTATTAATGATATTATCAACCATGTCTATAAACGTTTCACGAGTTTGACCACGGATTGATTAATTGATATCAGTTAGAGAACCATTGAAAACCAGCCACAGAGAGTACTGGACAGCTGTTTCCTCCATCGGTAGTACCCACCCACTGGGGGAGTTTCCAGGAGTTCTAGAGAGAAGTCGTGACCAGTGAGGTCCTAAATCCCGAATTGGTAGAAGTTAGAATTCGTGCGCTGGCCATTAATCTTTCCTGGGCTTCTCAAAAAAGACTATATCATATTACGAAGGGTATTAAATGCTGTGAGTAGGGCTTGTGGTATGCCACTGCGTGAGCTCGTCAATATTATAGTCGAGAGACATATAAAATCCTGTACAACATGGGCAAAGGCCGTACTGTCAGACCCCTTGCACCCCCTTTACTCACAACTATCCCCTTGCATCTCATCAGGTAGGACGAGAAATCAATAAAAGAAGTTATATGCTCGCACCACTAAGTACAAAAATTCTACAATACCGTATTTAGCCCATATTTTATGTGATGGAGACACTGTTAGATGTGATACATATAAGTTACTATGTAATTAGGAAAGTGAATCGACCCTTTCATCTTTCTGTAGTTTTAATTATAATAATAATAATAATTTAATTATAACTTAGATATTTTATTTTAGTTGTAATTACTATTATTACTACAATTTTATACTTTATGCATATTTTTTCTCCTTACCGCATACTGTAATTGCTACATAGCTGCTATAACAACGTTTTGTTATTATTATTATTATGTAATGTTTATCTTTTTATCGTTTTGAGTAAATTAGATGCAATATTGTACTGAATGCTGAAAATTCCTTGATGTATCATGAGTACTGTTTTTGGAATAAAGCAAAATTATTATTATTATTATTATTATTGAAGAGTGAGGTCCCAGTGGCTGAATGGTATACGAGCTAGCTTGCGTTGTAACCGAAAGGTCCTGGGTTCTAAAACCTGTCAATGGGTGCGTACTGCCAATTATTTCCAAAGTAGGATGAAACAGTTGTCCAGTACTCCCTGAGCTGGTTTTCAATAGTTCTGTAACTGATATCGATCGATCCGTGGTCAAACTCGTAAAAACAAATCTAATCCTTACAAATCAACTCTTGAATATAAACTTTCAATATCTTCATTATTACTTATTATAGTGATTATTTATCTTTAATACTATCATTAACTTTCTTGTCATCATTACCATAATAAGTGTAGATATTGTGAAGTTGTTATGACCGAAAATCAATTCGTTGTGGTTTGAACCGATCTCTACATTCAGTTGTATAGCTGTCCGAAAATTCCTTGAAAGACGTATAGTCACGAAACGTTCCGAAGACTATTATTCTCGGCTGAAACAATGAGTGTTTCTATTCAATAGCCATAACAAAATCAAAAATTCAAAAATACTTCAACAATGGTGTTAGACGGCTATACAATCTAGTCCAGTCTAGGTACAAAATGAGTACAGTCCTACAGGAGGTCAATCGCGAACCCGAATAGCTCAGTGGCTGGTGACATCTCTGACTGTAGGCGGCACTGGGTGACACGGGTTCGAATCTCCTCAAAAGGGAAATGAGTTCCTTCAAGGTGGTTACAGATACGCCTTGCTGACTGACTGGTCAGAGCCAACTAGCACGAAACCTAAGTCAGTCAGGTAAGGCTTCCTGTGGCCGATTGCCTTCAACCATCTAACATCAAAAATTCAAAGTGCACCGTGATGGCGAGCCACCTAGTGGTGGCATGGTGGCCACACTGCAAACTTGGCTAATAGAATTCAGTCTGCAGTAAACTAAGGAGTAGACACATCACACTAGTTACTAGTGTTCAGCAGATGATTCTTGCCTGAGTCTATGTGTGGTTCTATTTAGTAGCAATATTAAAAATCGAAAATTCAAAATTACCTCAATAATACCATTAGAAGGCCATACAATCTAATCAAGTCTTAGTACAAAAAGAATACTTAGTTGGTATTAGATGGTTGGAGGCAATCGGCCACAGGAAGCCTTGGACCTAGGTTTCGTGCTAGTTGGCACTTATCAGCAAGGCGTATCTGCAACCTTGAAGGAACTGATGTCCCTTCTGAGATTCGAACCCGCGTCACCCAGTGCTGTCTCCAACCATCTTATACCACCAATTCACAGTGCACCGTAATGGCGAGCCACCTAGAATGGTGGCCACATTGCAAACATGACTGATAGAATTCAGTCTGCACCGAAGATAGGACTAGACACATTACACTAGTTACGGACTAGTGTGCAATCAAGAATACTTAGAATCCACAAGAATCACACACCAACAATTCCTGAAGACAACCCAAGGTTAGAATGACCTCCATTCACTCAAACAGAATCTTAGTTGTAAAAACAACATATTATCAATGTATGACACAACCAGAAAGAGAAGCATTCAAATTAGAGAATATATAAGAACACAGATCAACAATAAGGATCAAGTCGGCATATGATATGAAAATGTCAGAACACTGACAATTCAGTCTAGAAGAAAGATACATCATAATTACAAAGTAAGTTAAAGCGTCCAAATATGTAAAAAAATATTATGATTAGGTGATGCTGTCGTTGACACAGCGATAGAATGTCCGTCAACCAAGCAGGTGGTCCAGAATTCGATCCCCCCGCCGACAAGGCACTCCTTCACCTCGCCAAGCCGGTAATAAGACTGATAAACAGGGAGGGTTGGGCATGAGACTAGCAACCCCATCCCGTAAAAGGAAACACCACTGCTAGCGGAACTTTGAAGCTCTAGCTTGAAGCCTTATGTTCCATTGGGAACGTCAAGGAATAAACAATACTAATAGGGATTTTCCAAACAGTTATCCCATTACAGAATTATCGTGTATATTCATGTATATATTCGATTTTAGAAGTAATATCTATAAAAGGCGAAGATTCATTTTGAGGTGGAGATATAAAGATAATTGCCTTAACAATCAGTTAAAGATGCATGTCAATAAAAAGTTTACTTATAAAGACGGGAGGGGAATGAAAAGTTACGGCGTATTCCAATGAATAATTCGAAATCATTGATCGATTACTGTTATTTATTATTGCGCTTCAGTGAAATATGCATATAGAGGAACTTGACATAATTAGGAAAGATAATGGCGATGAAAATTGATAAAAGGACACTAGTGAGATAGATAAGATATAATTATGCTAAGGAGTATTTAAACTTTGTTTGAATTAACTCCCAAAAGTAAAAATAAAATATCTTTAATAATAATCTCAAATTTACGTGTGGATAATAATTACTGATATATATATATATATATATATGTATAACAGAATAGCAAGAAGTACTGGTTGACCTTCCTGAGAAAAAGAAACTGTTTACTCTATGAGAGGATGACTGAAAGCTTGGGCTGGATTACACACGTCTGTATTTTGTTTTTCACCTAACTAATGGGATACTACCTCTAACTGAGGGTCAAAAAAGTCGAAAAATTGGAAATTGGTGTGTCTCTTCCAAATGACTTAGGGATGCGAAATGATTAAGGTTGTTTTGAGCTTAGTAGAGCTCAGCTAGACTGCCTTGCTTACTACCCATAAATTCTATAGTAATCACAAAAGCGGGTTATACCACTCTCACAGCTCGCTTATGTGTCTGTGGATGGGTTTCCTAATGTCTTCGTAGACGTATAGAGGCTATTCGTGTGCCCAACTAGTTCCCAGGCATAACGATTTCACTGAATTTGGTGGGTGCTGGCTTCGTTTACAAGAGTCAGTGTTAATGTAGCGTTGCTATGCATGCTACTCTTGCCTGCAATAAAGCGTTTGGTTAGTCTTGTATGCATGAGGAGTTCTATTGGGCCTGTCTGTGAAGTACATAATTCGCCGAAAAGAGACTCTTCGCTTATCTACGTGTTTTGTTTTCATAAATGATTGACGCAAACATTGGTCGGTTTAACCACGCCTATCTATGTATTATAATATTTACTAACTGTGTGAACAGTCCACCGAGGAAGACGTCTGTCGAGTGGTTGAGCCACAGGATGATACTGATTTCTGGTCCTATCTAGCAAAAGGCAGGGATATATGTGTATTAAATACCTATTCAACGGGTGCATCGTTGTGTGAATAAACTGGTTGATCCTGCCAGTAGTTTCCTGCTTGTCTCAGAGATTAACCCATGCATGTCTTAGTACATATCGCGAATGGTTTATTAAATCAGCTTTGATTTCTCAGATCATATATACTACACAGATAACTGCAGTGATTCTAGAGCTGATACATGCAGTTATGCTTTGACCCGTAAGCGAACGGATGCATTTATCAGAACAGAACCAATTGGGACGGTTTCAACTGTCTCTGTTGAATTCTGTGATGACTCTGGATAACTTTATTGACCGCAGTTTGGCTTGAGTCGGTGACGCATCTTTTAGTAAGTGATCTGCTTACGATGAAAATAACGGGAATCAAGGTTCAATTCCTCATAGGGAGCCTGAGAAATAGCTACCACATCTAAGGATGGCAGCAGGCACGAAAATTATCCTCTTCAAACCCGGGCAGCTAACGACGAATCTCAACTGAAGCTCCGTAATTCGAATGGATAAAATTTAAAACCTGTACTACTGATTAACGGTCATTTGAATAAGTGTTCGTAGAAGGAATGCAGCAGTATTCAATAAAGATGGCGGCATAATAATTCACACAAGTTTTCTATCCTTAGTCACACTGTGGTGAGAGCTGTCTGGAAGACAAAACTGTAGACAGCAATTCACGTCAGTGTTTACATCCCGAATCGGGGTCATGAGAAAAACAGTAACAAAGCTTAACCCTGAGGGACTCATCAACCAATCACAGCAGACCTAACTTGTGCAAATACGATTCGCAGACTTATGGCTTAACTTTCTAAGGAACTTTAACAAGCAGTACAGAACAATTCCATTGTGGGTAAATTTTATTTTGATAGAGTCTCACAGTGTTATACAGTAATATTCACTGATGACGTTTCGAGCACAATTTATTGCTCATAATCATATGAAGGTAATCACACGACTTCTTAAATTCATTTATATAGTTCCATTGTTTTTCGCTCTACCACAGTGCCCAAGTTTTATTCTTATATCAACAGTACAGAACAACCTTGAGCAAGAAAATGACCAATCAGAAGAAGTTGCTTCTCCGCTAACAATAACGCTAATAACAATGCACATAAAAATCTATAAATACCTCTTGATTTTCTCAATAAACGATCTATTGCCTGGCCCTTGTCTTCTATCTTTACAAAATTAGTATATTTGTTGGAGTATGAAAGACAAATGAATGATCTTTAGAGATCTAATATATTAAAAAATGCCAGTTAGCCTGAATACTTTAATGGTAAAGACTTGGAATCAAGATCAGAATGAATTGGATGAGGATTACATTTGTGAACATGCATCTTTTCAAGCCTGTAGATACATATGGCTAATGAGTTCCAGAAAGTGGTGAAACTAGATCCATATACTACAGTTTTTGGACTCCCCTTAGCATCTAATGACGAACTCAGTGTTATCATCAAGACTGGAAGAATTTTAAGCTAATTGAAAGCTCGAAATATCTGTAGAGGTAATTTTAATGCCGGACGTAATGAAGTTCGGATAGATGACTTTAAGTAGAAGCTAAAAGTTTAGTAGATTCTACAGATTTAAGTCATACATTATCAAAAGACGGATTACGATCTTCAACTACAGATTGCAATAGATACATTAGGCACAGCCTAGTGCATTTCGACCTTACATTGACTGATATATAACGAAAACTAAGCTATTTTGCTGTATATTTTATTTTATTTAAAACGTAGAACCTGGAACTGCAGCGTGTTCACCATTGATTGCAATTCTTGGTCACTTTGAGCCACTTATTCGAACTAACCGTCAGACTACAAAGAAGGAGTCATGATGCACCAAATGATGCTAACCTAACACAAATATCCTTTATCCCAAGACTTCACATCATAAACTGCCCACTACCCCCTCCTTTTTCATCTAGTCTCAGGGTTAGTGAACAGAGACCAGTGCGAAAGCCTCTGAGATGATATACGTAAGACATGTCATTGAAGCTATTTAAGCCTGTATTTAAAGATGACCACACTAAATGAGTGATGACCTCCACTGCATCCAAACACGCGTTGACTGATCTCAGAATTACTCACACGATGATTTCATCGGATACAAGCAATTCTACAGAGATAGCGATGATGGAACACACAGAGTCACCACACATTTTCAGCTCGGAGAATCTAGGTTTCGCAAGCCTAGAACAATAATACACGTACCGAAGCAGTGTAAACCCAATCTTTGGTAAACAGGTTGATGTCACGACAGAACCACGATTGGCTGAAATTGGAGTATGCCACCGTAGATTTCATTATACAGTTGGAAATCCCTCCCATCACACCCTAAGCTAACACACACAACTATTTAGATACGCGAACTCGTAGATATCTTCAAGTGGTTTGCCTGCAACGACGAATGTAGGTACAGCCTCCAGCCAAACTTGTAACAGTACCTTGTACTTAGACAGCACAAAGCACATACCATATTTACAGACACTACAGTATAAAATGTTTAGTTTCAAAACACTGTAATGTGGACATTTTATTAAAAACCAAAAAAAGACATGGTACTTACGATCTACTAAAATATCCAGATTGTATTCATTTTTATCAGAACGAAGTCCAGTTTCATGGATAACTCTAATCCAGGTGTGTTCTTCTCCGACAATTAAACTATTTACATTTTCATAATTAGCGTCTTTACTCTAAACATGCAAGAAATAAATCAAATGTGAATAGACATAATTAGAGAGAGAATTCATATTGTAAAGTGTCAAATTATATGTTACTTTTATTGAAATAAGGATAAATAGAAATAATAGTGAAATTAATAATGATAACATAAACAAGAAAGGATATAAGGCGTCTACGGTTTTACCACACGAGGAGGGGACATCTGAGACTATCCCTACGTAGGATTCTTAATAAAGCAGGAAAACTCACTCAGGTGGGACAAGCTGCGTAGGTAGGTTAAGGGACCCTGTAGATTAACCTAAATAATGTAATTTACACAATACCTTGCAATGACTGTGAGTTAGGTCAACTACATAGGTCAAACTAGTAGATCGGGGGTAGTCAGATTGTCGGAACATAAGAATTTAGCTAAGGTAAGAATGGTTGAACCCGAGAAGATAAGTAATTTAGAAATAAGCTCAGCAGTGAATTGCACTGCATACATTAATACACAACCACACAATAGGGTGGGACAGAGTCAAAATTCCAAGCAGTAATATAAGTGGGTAGAGAGAGAGATTGATTACTGAATCCTGGTTCATCGAGTCTACACCCAACTCATGGAATAGAACTAACACAATGCAAATGCCAGATATATTACTACCAGTCAAATCAGAGGATAATAAATAATGTTAAAATGTATTCAATTCAATTAACATTATAACATTCTAACAAGTTATTTATTTTATTATAAAAACATCTTATTTCCCATCTTATCGACTAACAACACTCGTCTTAATTCTCATCATATTATATTTATTGATAACACTAGTATTGGTTCCGAATGAACTTTATCTGCCATTCTGTTTTGCGCAAGTCTTAAATTGATTTTATTCAAATGTCTAATCAATTTTCACTCATGTATGTTGACGAAACAAGAAAGCTGTGTGAGTAGCGCCTTGATATGATTATGAGTGGCAATAAATTGTGCTCGAAACGTGGTTATCAGTAAATATTACTGTACAACACTGTGTGACTTAATCAAAATAAAATTTTATCCAAAATGATATATATATATATATACCAGTGCGGAATCTTTAATTGCTTATACTCCTTGTATTCATTTAGATCTCTTACGTAATTTCGCATTCCATATTTTGTTCCTATGTGTGTCCAGAGTACAAATCAATCATCGAACTATTCGTATTATTACACGACTCCTTTTTAATAACTGTTTGTGACAACTCATCACCTTTGTTTAAACAAAGTAAATGTATGCATACAACGGTATAGGAGTTACGTATTAGGGACGAGAGATGCGTAAAATGATAAGTAACTAATAAATTAGGTGACAATATACTGAGTTCAACTCAAATCATAGAGACAAGAGACAACCGAAATTACACTACATCAAAGGGAGGTGAGGATAAACGCAAAGATTACGCAACCGGATGAAAGAGAGAATAAAGACATCCAGTCACAAGAATTGCCAAATAAAGACTTATCACTGTTTCTTTTTGAACACATAAATCAGGTTTCACGCGTTTGGTGGAGAGTGCTTCTGCAAACTTGAGGAGAATCGAGCTTTTTTGTCTGTTGATAATTTTAAAGGACATTACAACGTCCACCTCATAACCCCTATCAAGGATATGCCTAGCAATGGAACTATTGTAAGCGTTTGTTCCCTTGGAACGCAGGCTTTATCGTACATGTTCAGAAAATCGGAGGTATGCCCTTCTTTCTGTTCTCCCAATGTAACTGCTCCCACAGATATATGTAGATTTGCATTCACTGTTAGAGTTAACATGAGGAGAGTATCTGCCGACTTTTGATTGAACCAATGACCATACTGTCCGGTGAACAGGAACCAACCCAGCTGGCGGTTAGGCTCTGGCTAGTAACGTAATAAATCTTCTATTGCCTATTGCTGCAACATTTTCAACTTTAAAATCTAGTTGATTGAAGACAGGCTTTTTCGCACTCTGATTTGTTTGATGTTTGAGGCTACACATCCTCCATATTTGTTAATGAATCTCTGAGGGTAACCGTTATTTTTCAGTGTTTTCGAGAGTCATAAATTCTTCTTCTAATTTCTCTGCAGAGCATATTCTTGTAGCTCTATAGTGCAGAGTTTTGACTAGTTCTCATTTAAAGCTATTTGGACAAAAAATTTAAAATGCAAGTATTGCCCATTCCATGCTGGTTTTCTGTAAATTGAGCTCTGAAGACTACCACCTTCCAGGTGCTGCATAGCAATATTAAGGAAATGGAACTTTCCACCATTCACGCGTCGTTGAATAATCCGAGTAGGTATGAAGCAGGACAGCTGTTTCGTTCAAAATCTAGTGGGTGCGTACTGCCGAAAAGTTCTAAACTAGGATGAAACAGCTGTCCAGTACTCCCAAGTTTTCCAATGGTCCTCTAACCGATGTCAGCTCATGATGAAATCCTCCAACCAATCAAACAGAAAATCCCTACGAAACCAATACTTGGAAATTCATCTGATGCTCGTTAGTGACTGGTCCTATTCAGGCAGTTACCTGAGGTTCTAGTGGGAAGCCATGAGCAGTAGGGTACAGCAGGTTCAAGATGAGGCAGTAACTCATCTAAGAAGACATTGTGAAGTGGTCGCGCTATGTCATCAACTAGCAGAAGTTAGAATTCATGGGCTGACCATTAAGGAGTCGGGTCCCAGTGGCTTAACGGTTCACGATCTCGTCTTATTTATTAGTTCAAAATTCGGTTCATGGTAGTATTCCAAGAAATCAAAAAAATCCCATAAAGTGAAGTGCTCATGTGTACATGTCTGACGTAAAAAGAAACTATGTTTAACTGTGATTTACAGTGAAGTTGAAAAATACAAGTTTCTCATCTTTCAAAGCAATAGTTCTCAGTTAGTGTTTCTCATTGAAATTTACCAAAGAAGTGAAATCCAGACAAATACCAATGCTGAAGATAAAATGAACACTCAGGATTAGATGGATTTCCTATGGTCAGATAACACCGACAAAATATAGTCATCCAAATCGATATTTCTGTCTTTCTGACAAGTTCGTTATATTACTGTAAAATGCTGTTTAAATAAGTAACTTTTTAAATGACTAAGTTCTAATATCTACTGAACAGCTGTCTCATCCTAGTTTGGGACTCTTCAGTAGTAATCAGTCGCTGGGGTTAGAACACCCGCGACTTTCCAGTTACAGGTCGAACTCATAGACCATTCAGCCAATGGAATCCAATCCAATGACCACCCCCATGAATCCCAACTTCTGGTAATTCGCGATATCTATATAGCCCAACCACCAGTCATTGTGGTGATTTTTTACCTGACTTAGTGGGCCGCGCTGGTTACGACTTCTCACTAGAACTCCAGGTAACCTCCTGTATAGAGTCAGTCACTCACTAGTGGGCATCGGACTAAATGTCAATTGCTGGTTTGCAGGGATTTGATTGGTTACAGGCTTGAGCACCAGTTGACACCAGCTGACATAGATTAACTGTTCACTGACAGATTACTGTGCATTATCTAATTCTGTTATAACTCAAAATTATATCGATTTTTTGATCGATTAACTTTCGGTGTCAATTTAAAACAAACTGATCATTGTCAAATATATATAATCTGATGAGAGAATTATAACTTACTTTTACAGATAATGTAATTAAAAAGTCAGGATCCAATTCTGTTGAAAATGCTGTCAACTTTTGTCTAAGTTCTGAACCAATATGTATAAGATACGGTCCCCATGTATGACCGATTGAAAAATGTCCAATAGCACAAACAGTCAAACAATTCGATTCATTTATTACAGATACTAGTCCTGGTGGTATGTAGGATAATGATGTGTTCATTCTGTGAGTACTATTCGATGTATTGCTTATGATTATGATTATTATTATTGTTAGCTGTAGTAGTAGTATTCAACGTCGTTACATTCACAGTTAAATCATTTCTGTTCATATTGATTTGATCATTATGCAAAGTTGACTGACTATTCGAGGCAGACGATGTATCCCATTGTGTTGTTCCTGTGATGAATGATAAAGACAAGAATTATGAATATGTAGGAAGCTAAACTGGAGAACAGTATAAACTTAAGTATGGTTAGTGTTTAATTGAATTTTAGATTTTCCCGTCGATTGATTGGACCGAAGTGCTCGGTCTCAGGTTGACATGTCTGCGCCTTGTGCAGATGCTTTAAAGATGTTTGATGGATGGTGACTAGCAGTGGAATCCTCTGGGATGTGCATTTCGTCATATTTGCGACTCGTGGTCAGTTGGATGTACCTGCATTCCCCACTCAGTGAGTGATGATATTTCCACTACCGAGGCTCGAACCCAGTGCCCATAGTTTCTAACGCCAAAGCGAAATGCGCATCCCAGTGGAGTCCACTGCTAGTCACCATCCACCACTTAACTTCTAATTACATGCCCAGACATCGTCGAAGCATCTGCACAAGAAGCTGACATGTCAACCTGAGACCGAGCACTTTGGTCCAATCAATCGACGGCAAAATCTAAAATTCAACTAATTAATTAATATGACCCGTTGCACAAGAGGCAGTGGCTCTCGTGGACCAAGTGGTCTAGTGGGTAACGCTATGGAGTTTGAAACTATGGACACTGGCTTTGAACCTCGGCGGGACCATCACCACTCACTTTGGACTGCAGGTACATTCAGCTGACCACAAGTGCCAAATAGGACGAAATGTGCATCCCAGTGGATTCTACTGCAAGTCACCATCCACCAATTAAATTCGAATTATATTGTTAGTATTATTACTGAATATTTTCAGTTCTAATTCAATGACAAAATTACGCACACAATTCGAAATGAAATCGGTGGAAACATTCTGATCTCATGTGGATATTTGACCAGACATTTTAAAAATCTCCTAGTCAGTTTTTCAAATATATGCAGATTGCTCACAATTAGCAATGTGAATATTGTCATAAGTTGTTTGGAGGAAATCATCAGGAAGTCCACTGACCTGGGTTTCGTATTTGTTGATACTCAGCAGTAGCAAAGCAAATCTATAATCTTGAAGGAACTCGTGTCCCTCCTGAGATCTGAAGCCTGAGACGTTACTTGTAGGAATGTATTGGATACTTTGATTGGAGACATGCCGGTAAATAGTATCATCCATCTAGTACTTTGTTTGATGCAGACTGAATTCTACCAGTGGTAACGTCTCTGACTGCAGAACTGGATGATAAGAGTCCAAAATCTCAGAGTTCCTAGAAGATTGCAGATGCGCCTTGCTGACGAGTACCAGCTAGCACAACACCTAGGTGTCAGGCTTCCTTCCGATTGCCTCCATCCATCTTATTAGCAACCATTCGCAGTACATAATGTCTAACCATCCAGCATGGTGGCTACGTTGCAAACTTGACTGATAGAATTCGGTCTGTACCAAAGATAGAACTAGACGGATTATACTGATTACTTACAAGTGTCCAATCAAATGTAAATATACCTAGAAGTAACTACGATATATTTATGATACAATAGCTATCCACAGATGTGTTCCAAGGTACTTACAACACTATCTGCAACTGTTATGCATATGTTAATAAGATTGCATAACTGAAGAATGATACAGATAGTGAATTCACGTAGACAATAAACGGATTAAAACAGCTTTACATTGGCCATAGTCAGAGGCCCCTTTCACACGGACACGAGAACATATTCCAGCTGCATGGTTTTACAAGGGAGAAAGGAAGTGTTAAGGGAAGTTCTATGCTGGAATACCTGATCAACTTCTGTCACTCTGTCAACCCTGACCATGATTTCAAGATCATATATAGAATCCATGCTGACTTCCCGCGTTTTCTTCGTTACAGATTTCTAAAGACAGCTGAGGCCTTGGCAATTCATGACTTTAAGCCAGACCTTTGTGTACAAAAGAAGTATGTACAATCCCTACTTCTGTCTTGGCCGTAGAGGGATTATTTTGTTTATTTAGTTATGTTATGTACTTTTTCCTTATTACTAAGGTTATTATCATTATTGTTATCATTATTATTACTACTATCCTTACTCTGAATCTTTTCCACTTGACCCACTTGTCATTCAAAACCCAAAATTATTAATTTTTATATTTTTTATGTTTACAATATTGAATTCTATCTTATCAAATTTCCCACCATGTTATGTAACATTTTATATTCGCCTACTAATCTTATAATTATGTACCCCTTTCCAAAATAACTTATTGACGAGTATATACTGGGTTCGAATCCCGATGGCATTGTGCACCACTCGCAATTATGCAGGCATATCCAAGAAAGAAATAGTAAAACTACTACTTACCCCAGAATGGGTAAACTTTACGAACACCACAATAATATCAATTTTGCTAGGTACTCCCTAGTCTTGTCGAACAATATCCGATTTATCGAAGTGAAACCGGAAGTAATGGAGATTATTTCATTCAATTCGGACTTTCTCGTTGATTAATTGGACCAAAGTGTTCGGCCTCAATTGAGATATCGGTTCTTTGTGTGGATACTTTGATGGTATCTCAAAATTTAACTTGAAGTACTCTGGTGGATGGTGACTAGCAACCGAATCAATGGGAACTCCATCACTCACTGGCCATTGCAGTACATCCACAAGCTAACGAGTCACAGATGGGACGAAATGCCCATCCTGAAGTCTACTGCCAGTCACCACCCGCTAAATCACTTCACGTTAAATCCTCAGATATCGTGGAAGCATCCACACAAGGAGCTGACATGTCGACAAGGATCGAACACTTTAGTCAAATCAATTAACGAGAAAGTCAAAATTGAATTATATAATAACTGGTACTCGTTGCTCAAGTGGTCTATTGGATGACTCTGTGGCCTTTGAAACAATGGCTATTAGGGTTCGAGCCTCAGTGTTTCCTAAAAATATGTTTATCTAAATATATATTGACTTTAATTCTCATATCGCTGTAAATAAATGAAAGAACATGATATCAGACAAGAAAAATGAAGGTTTGTCAAAGGGAAGTTATAAGTGGCTAAATTAACTGTACACGATTATAGGCTTTATTCAAAAAGACGTATATTTTCACTTTTTTGAGTGGGGATTCTATTCTCTACAGAGAACAAATTCATTGCACTATTTCTGATGAGTGGTGAGTTGCTTTAGGAGGGAGGAACTACTAATATTTTAAAGAAAAAACAACGTTTGTGAAGAATAAATTTAATGTCAGGGACTGTCAGTATCCAGTTAACTCTATGCCGAAATAAAAGAAACAAGCGAAAATAATACTGAAATAGTCTAAATTAAGTCATTTGGAAACTACTTCAACACTACGGTGTGCCCCAAATCTTTACCAATCTCATTTGTCAGCACGTATCAGATGATCTATAATGTAAAACTTAGCTAAATCATTGAAGTGAGAACAAGGGTAACACAAGGCTGACTACTGTCACTAACTGGATTATGTGGAAGTCTGTAGGGAGCAAGAAGACGAGTATATGTTGAAACGATAAGAGGACTCTAGAAGACATGGGTGCGTCGGTGACACAGCGGTTAGGACGCTCGCCGACCATGCACATGGTCCGAGGTTCGATCCCCAACCACGGACGCACTCCTTTACCTCGCTAAGCCAGTAATAAAGCTGATAAAGGGGAAAGGTTGGGCATGAGACTAGCAAACCCATCCTATAAAAATTTCAAAAAAACACTGCTACAGAAACTTCAAGCTGGCTCTAGCTTGAAGTCCTATGTTCCACTGGGAACGTGAAGTAATGTAATGGGCAAATCCACAATAGTTAAATTTTCTTTTATTAAATATCATATTCCATCTGAAAAGAAAGCTGCTAAACAAACACTGACGGTGTATTGTTTATTTTGTCATGAATAAAATTAAAGTGTTGGTTTGTAGGGGTTCGACAGATTGGTTACAGGATTTCATCATGAGCTGACATTAGTTAAAGAACCATTGGAAAACCAATGTGAGCTTATAATAAAATCAGTCATATCCCTACAAACCAACACTCGAATATCGATGAGATGTTCACTCGCGACTTGCTCTATGTTCCACTGGGAACGTGAAGGAATAAAAATAAGTAGACCTGGATTTTGCGGATGACTTTCGTCTAATATCGCATAAAGCCGAAGACTTACAGACAAAAGCCAACAATTTTTTTCAGACGAAGCTCTAAAGAAAGGACTTCAAGTTAATACATAAAGTGCCGGCGGTGATGAAAATAACCAACTAACAACAAAAACAAACACCAATCACTATCGACGCGAGAAATGTGAAAGAGACTACTTCTTTCATCTATCAGGTCAGGCAGCATGGATGAGAATGTCTAAACCGGACAGGATCAGGAAGGGAAGACAAACCTTCATCTCACTGTGAAATCAATTTGAAAATCTTCTTCACCCCGCAAGATTAACAACAAAATTAGGATTTTCAGCACAACTTAACGCCCTCGTCACCAAAAACCTTTCTAACAGCCTGCTGCAAACTTGCGTCACCAGCTGCCAACTCCTCTGGCTCCATACTGAAGATGATAAAGTTGGCCAAAAAGAACTAGCACCAAGAAACTATGAGAACAATCCAATCAAGAGCCTATTATTCAACAAATATTCCAAATAAAATGGAAATGAATCGGACACACACTGAGGAGACCATCGAAAGACATCCCATGTCAGGCCATCTGTCGAGTGATAAAAGACGAATTAGGTGTGTGTCAGAGGGTGACATAGCGGAAGTCGTGTGGGGAGGGGATGGGAGTTTATGAGGAGTCTTGGGGCCAGCTGACGAGAACTGCAGAGAACAGGTTGAAATTGACATGTGCTGGTGAAGCCCAATGTTCCATTCGGAATCCAATGGAACACTAATAATAATAATTAGGTAAGAGATGGACTCATTTAGGTCCAACTGGCTACATCAATTTCCGTTCGGTGTATTAATTAACAAACGAAGACGAAACAAAACCTCGGATAGTCACAGAACTCAACCAATAGCCTTCAGACTACATGTCTAATGATCTACAGAAAGATCCAGGCGACTCAACCA